GTTTTTGACAATTCTTTCGACTGAAATTTTTAGAGCAGCTGGCAGCAAAATATTGTAAACAAACCAATACTGCATATGTGTGCGTTCCATAGAGAAAAAGGCTATAGAAAGAAGGTCGCTGCTTAGGTTGCCGAGAATACGTAAATTACCCCATTTGAATTAAAGTTTCAGTCAGAGCTTCAGGTGAAAAATTAAACTTTAACTGTGTTAACACAAAAAACTTACGTTGGATAGTTCTGGAAGGCAGACGTGGAGGACTTTCTTTTGAGATTGTACGCTGGGACACTGGAGCGAAGTAAACACTTAGATTCGTATGCTCTTTGGTAACAGATTGTAGATAACTCCGCTCTTTATTACAATTGGTAGCCTATTTATAATGGTACATTTGTATGTATTTGAGTTGACTTAAAGCACTTTTAGATGAACAGGGGTTGTATAAAGCTTCAAAAGTGTGATGATACAATTATTAACCTCTATTCTTCTAATTTTGGTTCTGAGGTTGTTCACTAGAGATGTCTTGTTCACAAAAGTACAAAATATAATCGATATGATTCAAATTAGGGGAATTTGGCGTGAACATTTGATTGATTCTCTTCATAACAAAAAGATTTCGTGCTATTTTTGCCGCATAGGTTGATAAAGACGCTTTTTATCTAGGTGCCAAACAGGGATGCCAGATGATTTTTTCGAAAGTCTGTATGAGTGTCAAAAAACAGGTCTGTATTTGTCTGTATTCTAGAAAAATCACCGCATCGCAGATTTCGTATTTCCCACATGTATTTTGGCTATACAATTTTTCACCACACACTAAACTAAATAAATAAGCATTTTTGTATTTAACAAAAGTGCGTTTTTGTGTTTTTGAAATTCTTAGTGCAAAAAATACGATGTTAAACTTAAAAAGCCTTTTGCTGTTTAAAATCACGAGATTAAAAAATAAATAAAAATCCCGTTCAAGGTCCATGTACCAAACCATCGGAATTAAGTGACAACGTAAAAAAGGAACAAAGGCATGTGGGTTAGGCTAGAAAAAGGGAAAATCTATTATTTCAAATAAAAATAAATGAGAAATTATCAGAACTTACCGAACAGATGTTATTATTAAGTCTTATCATACATGTTGGTTGCAAATAGTCGAAAAGCTGTTTTATGATTTCAGTGATTCCTTTTTCATTTTGATGGCTTTTTCATATTCCTTGGACGCTAGGATTCCCTGCATCATAGCTGCATCCATCCTGTTACGCTGGTTAATTTTGTTAGGGTGAACGACGAAAAATCCTTTCAACTGCCACTGAGGAGTGTGGCAATGCAAGTAGGGTTGGCACAATTCATCTGAGATAGGAAAAGCGATTTCGCCATTCACCCATTTGGTGGCCACCAAAGTACCACTCCCCAAAATTCAACACCATCATCAAAATTAGTATCAATTGGCAAATCCATGTTTCTCACCTCGCGGAATTCGTCGTATACCATTTGCATTTCGAATTCGTTGATGACATTTGGGAACATCCGCAAAACTGGGTATGAGAGTATGAGGGGTTCGTTTTATTTTGAGATTTTTTGGGTCAATTATTGCCAGGTTTACGAGAATCATATCATCCATATTGATACGTTTCCCGATTTGATTTACAAACGTTATGTTGAAGTTCTTCGCCATTGTTCTGAAGTGATGAACATCCTCAAACTTGATGATATTGGATGACAAAACATCATCTAAATGTTTTTGTACGCCAGTACCCATATAAAACTTTTCCAACTGACAGTAGTTTCTGGGTTGCAAAATTATCGAACCCAGGTTTTCAAGCTTCGCAATGTAGTCTGGTCTCATGAAATTATCGAGGATTTCCTTGAGCAAACGAACTAGCTCAGAATTGAGTCGGAATATTTGAGGCGCTTCCGATTGCAACAAGCGCTTTAGCTTGTTAACTTATGGTAGAACAAATTCCAAAAACTTCAAGCAAAGCTCCGTCATGGGGTTCTCCAAGATACCGCTGATTTTTTTCATCTTCTCGGCATGCTTGATATCCACATTCGAATTAGTATAATTGAAGTATACTCGAAGAGCTGGAAGTCTTTCTAGCATTCGTTTCACCACCTCCTCCCACCAGCGTGTGGAGCATTTTCAATGGTTTCAAGTCCATAATTGCTTGAAGCTGTTCAAATTTCAAAAATATTTTTGTTTATTTTATGTTAAATTTCAGGAAACAATTGGTAAACATCTGTACAAAATCTGTATTAAGTTTCAAATATCTGTATAATGTCTGTAGTCTGTATTGGGTCTGTACGAAACTTCAAATATGTATCTGTATAAATACAGACATATCTGTATATCTGGCACCGCATACACAACAGGAAATGTGTTCGCAGCTGGGAGAAATTTGATGAAGAGAATCGATAGGACCTTTTGAAATGTTCATCTAAAACCATGGGTATGCATATTTTTTCAGATATTATATTCATCGTTTATGTGGTTCAGCATATGGTTGACCGTATTTCATTAAACGAATTATTGCTTCGAAAACATTCAACAATTCCAAAACGATAAAGCCTTTTAATATTTTAATTTTTTTTGTCAACGGAAGACGAAGAACGTGATCATAAAAGATGGCTGCAGTTCATATTTGAGGAGTTAGAAGGAAAGGGGTGTAAGTGACTTTGATCGATTCTCTTCATCGACTTTCGCTTTCGTTAATAATTCAGCTGCAAACACATTCCTTGATTCGTGAGCCATTTTGGATGCTAGATGATCAAACTATGTGCCAGAAATAGCGCGAAATCTGTTTATAGAGCTGTGGCTATCAAAAGAGAAATCCGATGAAGAGAATCGATCATAGTCACTTACACCCCCTCATTTAAAATAAAAGGTTTGAGATTTGTGAAGGTATGACAAAAGGATTTCAAGCAGTACGAGAAATTGAATGTGTTAAAACGAGGTATTCAAAATAATCATGAACTGCTGATAATATAAAAAAAAGAATTGCAATAGATACCTATATAAAAAAAAAAATATAAAATTGAAATCGACAGTGAGCATGCATAAGGGCCTATACGCGATGATCGATTCTCTTCGTCGATTTTCGCTTTTGTTAATAACTCGCTAGATTTAACGTTTCTCGGTGCGTTTGCTGTTGCTTTTGATAGCCAATACAACCTGTTACTACTCTACATTAAACAAATTCTAGAAAATGGTTTCGCTTAGCTGTAGCAATGCAAAGAGAAAATCGATTAAGAGAATCGATCATCGCGTATTCGCCCTTATGCATGCTCACTGTCGAAATGCTCATTAACACTAGTTTACAGCATATTTGAACTTTGTACGCTGGTGGTCATTTACAATTTAAAGTCGTGTGCTAAATCCAAAATTCTCAGTAGGACAGTTTTCTAGATGAAGCTAAAAAAATGAAATTTCTCTCAAAAAAAGTTTGTTTTCTAAAATACAAAGATCTCCGGCTGTAATGAAGTTATATCAATTATTTTAACGCCGGTAAGAACGGTAAGAAAATTTGCTTTCGATCAACTGAACATCATTTTTCAGTTAGATTAGTGATATTGTTGGGACAACCACTACAAAAAAATATTTACCTTGCTTAAAAACTTTTCTGAAATCCAATTGTTCTTGGAAATATGCAAAAAAAAAACAAAAAAAAAAATAAACTATTAATTTACAACAATACCACTAATCAAAGTGAAAAATGAGGTTTAATTGATCGTTAGAAAATTTTCTCACCTTTAATTTGGAGTTAAAATAATTGATATAGCTTTATTACAGCCGGAGATATTTGTATTTTAGAAAACAAACTTTTTTTTAAAGTGAAATATCGTTTTTAAGCTGCATTTTGAAAACTATCCTATTGAGAATTTTTTGACTACATTTTAGGATTCAGCACACGATTTTACATAAAGGATCATAGGTCAAACATTGAAGTTCGTTTTTGTTATTTTTATTTTTAAACTAGTGTAATCGTTGTGCTTTAGTGAATTCAGTTGATGGCTTCCGTCTGTCAAAGAACTGCTCATGTTTTAAAGAAAGAATCATCGCCACGAGAGAGAAATAGATTGTTCAATAGCATGTTTTTTTTAAAGAACGGCCACGTCGTAGTTACTACTACTTTACGGATTAGAACCAGTGAAATTGCTCAGAAAACCATATAGATGGAGCTAGGGATAAGATTTCCATCTTCAAAGTAAAAGGCGAATGAGAACGATCCAAATTTGAGTTTAGTTCACTCATAATCGCCAAAAGTGCAGGAACTCAGCGATGAGTAGATTTGCTTCATGTTTTCCTGTGGAAAACCTCAAAAATCTGCCGGAAAATGAGGAAAATTGACGAAAATTTTACTCAGTCTAGGAGTAATACCAATAGACTGGGTGAATCCAATTTTTAATTTTCTCATATTCGGGAAGTTTTTTTTCTGGACAAACATGGAAAAACATGAGGCACATTTACTCATCGCTGAGTTCCTGCACTTTATTTGATTTCTGAGTTAGCTAAACTCAAATTTGGGTCATTCTTATTCGACGTGTACAAGTTCACTGATTCATTCTACATATCGATCAGTATTTTGTTCAGAAATGTTTCGAAAAGTACTAAAACTAAATTGTCACATACATAGAAGGCCATATTAAAAAGATTTTTTTCTCAGCATGTTGTTTGAACGAATGGGACCAGCCAACATCTAAGCAGATATGTGGTAGACATTCCTAACGGAACCCGAAAACAAAGACAAAAATCCTAACAAAATAGCAAAATTCAAAATGAGATGATCTTACTTTCTCGGGATGGGCTATGAATCTTTACACAATGAATCCCCGCCGGATGTGCGATGCAATGAGTCCCCTTCTATCGGCAGCCGTTCGTTGAATCACGCTGCCAGAGGACCTGCGTTGCGTGTGAGTCTGTCGATGTGTCGATTTCGAATACGATTTCAATTTCCGCGGCGAGATTTAAATAACTCCGCACTGGATTTGGTCCCCTCCTTCGTTTAGGGGATGATGCTTACATGTGCTTGCTCTTTGGAACGTGCTTGTCGTTCGATCTGCCTCCGGAGCTGCCAATCTCGGTAACTGGCATCAGCAATCCGTTTCTCCTGGGCACGCTTCAGCTGCTGGCACCATAGCACCGGATGATCCGCGGGGTCGTTCGAGAAACCCATCTACCACCGGCCGTACGGGCAACAGCAGCTGTTACAGTCGTCAACCCGGTACCAGTCCGAGCTGGCCGCGGCGGTGATGAGTTCCAGTTGACCGATCTGCAGCAACAACGGATCCATTCCCAATTGACAAAAACACTATATCTGAATCGATTTTTTTATTTTTTCCACTGACGAGTATCACTTTTTAACCTAGATCCATCACCCTCGTTTCACGCCTGCAGGGAACAAAATAACGAAACACTTTCCCTTCCCGTCCGTGGCAGGCAGGAACAGGGGAATCCTTCACAGTTTGAGTTTTAATTTTCCCAAAAACAAAAACCAGTTCTTCACACAGACACTCTCTTGAACAGTGCGGGGTTGGCGCGAGCCAGAACACCTGCGGCGGCTTCAACGGTCCTGAGAAAACTGCCGTTCCTCGCTCGCCTGGGGGCCTGGGCCTAGCTGGGCACGGGAATCACAACCGAGCAATGATAGTTTTATGCTTTATGTATATATGGGGGAGGGTGAATGCAGAAAAGGGATACTTCGATCCAACAACAGTCGCGCATTCGATTCACGGAGTTGGTCGGATTTTTTCGCAAATGAACCTTGCAGGGCAAAAAGTTTTCCCGCGCGCGCTTTTGTTTTTTTTTTTGCCATTTGAGCATTGGGTGGCGCGGCGGAAGTATTCCACATTGACACGCGATTCTCACGGTCGACCTCGTCCTTCCCGCTACCGCTTGTCGCAATATACCTTTTGAGGAATGGTGTGGTTAGGGCACAGACAGGGAAGTGTTTTCCATGAAAAGTCCTGAAAAAGAGATTTCCAGAACATTAAATAACATCTCAAATACAATTGCTTTCCGTTGGCAGCGGTGCTAAGTCAAGAAATACATAATTTGAATTTGTATTGATACAATCAAATAAAGATGGACCACTTTTTCCGTGTACACATTTTTGGAGATCTGGCATTACATGTTCTTGTGTTGATAACCACGTCGCTAAGAAGTGAATGCACAAAAGTGTAAGACCTCTCAAGGTGAAAGGGGACGTTATTTATTTTCAAAAATTCAAAAATGTGTTCATTGATCTCACCCCAAAAGGACTGGATTCAATCCCAGTTGGCGCCGCTGGGATTTTCTGAAACATAACATCTTTGATCACGCCTTCTTTCGGAAGGGAAGTAAAGCCGTTGGTCCCCGGTCTATGTGTTGATGGGTCGATCGGTAGGGTTCAGGTGTGGGAGCTGACTCCCTGGCGTCGGTAGCATTGGTACTCAGTACGGAAAATAAGATCGACGGAAAACAAATCAATAGAAAAAAATGTGTTCGTTGCATTTTACTTGCCTACCAGAAAACTGTGAACCAGGGAGTAAGTTACTCTGCCACTTTGTGCCTGTACTGATTGTGTTTCTTGTGTGTTTTTGGGTGCCGGAAGGTGTTTCTGGGTGTCAAAACTGGCTGTCAAAACGGCAAACGAAAAATTATGCTAGCTGGCAACCATAACGTCCATCCATCCGCTAAAAATTACAGATTCTCTTCGCTCTTCGCTACAAATAAACAACAAACGCAACCGGCAGGATTATTATTCGGTACCTTTTCTACTGTGATCTGCGGCGTGCTCGGCGGGATCATCAACATCCAGTCCGGGTTTAAAGGTGAGTGTCGTGCAGACATCGAAGATCGAGATTTAAAACGCAAGTTATTTATTTTTATGCTTTCAGCGTTAAGTCAACCGCAGCAACAAACCCCCTTCAAGTACAAGAAGATAGGTGAGATCAAGCTCAAGGAGCTCAAGATTTGCTCCCAAATTGGGTGAAGAACGTATGGGAGTAAAAGCCAGCAAAAGATGGTCAGCACAACGGATACAGTTTTCGGGTAGCATACACTTCCGTTGTTCGAATCACAGATCTAACAGGTGATCGAGGACACCGGAACGAAGTACATCAGAGCGTTCAAATTAGAGAAAACCATTTCCTTCAAATGAATCTTTGACTATTTAAACCAAATTCAAAGACAATGACTCATATTATGGTTTTCTTTCGAAACATACAAACAAGCCAATCGTTCTCAATCTTTTCAAATTTTGACAGGTTGGATTGTTTACATAACGAGAGGTTCAGAACAATAAAATACATCACACTGTCAAATATGAATGATGAAATCAGATCATGGATTGGTCTATTATAAACAACAAATTACTTAACTCTCGCTCCGAAAACACAAAGGTTCGATAAATCCGGTGTCCTTCCCGTAAACTTCTCGATTGATTAGGTAGACCGCTGTCGACGCTGCCACTGCCCAAAAACACTTGCCAAGCCTGCCGTCGAACATCAGACATCTAGCTCGCAATTGCATCGTTAAATTCATGCGTTCAGCCAGTCCGTTTTGCTCCGGATTGTAAGACACGGTTGTCTAGTGACGAATGTCGTACGCCTCGAAATGCTTTCCAATATACGGCACTCCAACCTCTTTCCAGTCTAGGTTTCGGAATAGGCATTAAACTCCTTGGACGCACCAAACGCATGCGTCTTGGACTTCAGGAACATCATAAAGGGTGGAACGGTCAAAAATTGGTCGACTCAAATTGGAAATGTTGGAAATGAGAAACAGTTCTAAGCAAATTGACGTTCAGCATCAAATAATACCCCGTTCACATTACAGCCTATATCACGTAATATAGGCTGTCTTGCAATGAGCACTCATACATAGGATTTTCAGTGAAAACTAGATGTATGAGTGCTCATTGCAAGACAGCGTATATCACGTGATATACGCTGTAATGTGAACGGGGTATAAGGTTGATACAACCGTGGTACAAAATGGGATGGAAAGTGTGAAACGTAAAGCCCGACATTTGGAAAATCGGAAGCCTAACCAAATAATTTTCCTGTCTTTTGTAGTAATTGAACATCAAAAAGAAATAAACTTTGATCATTTATACAATAACATAATCAGGGTTATTCTGCGATGCGTATGAGGTGAGACGACAATTGTCACCTCGCAGTCACATGACTCTTCTCACTCTATTCCGAAAGTCGACTCGGGTGACCGGAAACCTATGTCTGACGCCTTTTTCAAATTCTATATGGCTTCCGGTTGGAGAAAAACTCGGAATTTTTGTAAAATATCCCACAATATTGGTATTTTTGGAGTCTTGATGACGTGTAGGAACCGGAAATCGATATACGAGGCCGTTTTGAAATTCAAGATGGCGGCTTCCGGCTAGAGAAAAACTTGAAAATTTTGTCAAATACCTCACAATATTGGTAGATTATTGGTTAGAGTCGGGGTGACGTGTAAGGACCGGACATCGATGTCTGAGGCCATTTTAAAATTCAATATGGCGGCTTCCGGTTAGAGAAAAACTTGGAAATTCTGTCAAATTCCTCTCAATATGGGTATTTTTGGAATCGTGGTAACGTGTAGGGACTTGAAACCCATGTCTGACACCATTTTGAAATTCAATATGCCAGCCTTCGGTTAAAGACAAACTTGGAAATACTGCAAAATTACCCACAAAATTGGTATTTTTGGAATCGGGGTGACGTGTAGGGACCGGATGTCGATGTCTGACGCCTTTTTAAAAATCAATATGGCGACTTCCGGTTAGAGAAAAACTGGGAAAAACTGCCAAATTACCCACAATATGGGTATTTTGGAATCTTGGTGACGTGTAAGAACCGGAAATAGATGTCTGAAGTCTTTTTGAAATTCAATATGGTGGCTTCCGGTTGGAGAAAAGCTTGGAAATTTTGTCAAATATACCACAATATTGGTACTTTTTAGTCGGGGTGACGTGTAAGGGCCGGAAATCGATGTCTGCGGCCATTTTTAAATTCAAGATGGTGGCTTCCGGTTGGAGAAAAACTAAAAAAATATGTCGAATACCTCTCAATATGGGTATTTTCGGAATCTTGGTAGTGAAGTGAAGTGACTGGAAACCCATGTATGACACCATTTTAAATTCAATATACCAGCTTTCGGTTAGAGAAAAGCTGGGAAGTACTGCCAAATTACTCACAATATGGGTATTTTTGAAGTCTTGATGACGTGTAGGGACTGGTAATATAATGACTTCAATATGGCGGCTTCCACAATATGGGTATTTTTGGAATCAAGGTGACGTGTAGGGACCGGAAACCCATGTCTGACGCCATATTAATTACATATGGCGGCTTGCGGTTAGAGAAAAACTTTGAAATTCTGCCAAATTCCCCTCAATATGGGTATTTTTGGAATCGTGGTGACGTGTAGCTCAAACTGTGCGGCAGTAATTCCCAATTTTACTACAACCAGAAGCAGCCACATTGAAGTCAAAATAGCGCCAGACATCGATTTCCAGTCCCTACACGTCACCCCAATTCTAAAAATACTCATATTGAGAGGTATTTGACAGAATTTTCAAGTTTTTCTCCAACCGGCTGCCACCATCTTGAATTTCAAATTGACCTCAGACATCAATTTCCGGTCCCTACACGTCACCCCGACTCCAAAAATACCAATATTGTGGGATATTTTACAAAAAATCCGAGTTTTCTCCAACCGGAAGCAGCCATATTGAAGTCAAAATAGCGTCAGACATCGATTTCCGGTCCCTTCACGTCACCCCAATTCTAAAAATACCCACATTGAGGGATATTTGACAGAATTTTCAAGTTTTTCTCCAACCGGAAGCCACCATCTTGAAATTCCGAATGGCCTCAATATCGATTTCTTGTCCCTACACGTCACCCCGACTCCAAAAATAAAGGGTGTCCACGATGAAATTGCCACACACAAAATTGATTCGCAAAATTCGAGTTTTCATCCGATTGCCATCAAATTTTCAGGGATTGAGAAATAACTATTAAACTTCATTTTACCATTTTACTCGTATTTTATTTACAGTCCATACGCAAATATCCGCACCTTGGACTTAACCCCGGCCATAAGATTCTGCACAACCTGTGAATCAACCGTTTTTTGCATGTAAACCCATACTTTCTTCAGTTCCTCGACTGTCTTCACTACCTTAGGTCGTTTAAGAAGGTGCTGCTTCATAATCGCCCAGTACTTCTCGATGGGGCGGAGC